TTGACAGAGATTACAAGTAGGCAGAGAGGCAGGCAGAGAGAGAGGAGGAAGCAGGCTCCCTGCTGAGCAGAGAGCCCGATATGGGGCTCAATCCCAGGACCCTGAGATTATGACCTGAGCAGAAGGCAGAGGCTTAACCCACTGAGCCACCCAGGCACCCTCCCACCTTTTTTTTTTTTTTTTAAAGATTTTAAAAGTCATTATTTGACAGGGAGAGAGATCACAAATAGAGCCGCCAGGCAAAGGGGTGGGGGGAGAAAAGCAGGCTCCCCGCTGAGCAGAGAGCCCAATGCGGGGGCTCGATCCCAGGACCCCAAGATCATGACCTGAGCCAAAGGCAGAGGTTTAACCCATTGAGCCACCCAGGCGCCCCATGGTGACTCATTATTTGTAGCTGTTATATTCCATAAAGTCTCTGTAAGCACTAAATGAGCAAATACTGACTTATTACTTCTAGGGGGAATACAGGGTTAGGCTCCTCTGAGCCTCTGGTTGCATTATTTTTATCAATCTATCAATGTACAAGCTTGTTTTATTTTTCTATTTAAAGACACCTCATGTAAATATATATTGTTGATTCAGTGACAGTGATCACTCAGAGCTGGCAACACTGTAACTCATGCCTGGTAAGAAGCTTATCTAACAGACATATATTCTCCCTAAGGCACAGCCTTCCTGCATTTTAACACATTTAGGGGCCATTTTAAACAGTGAAATCACCAAGAAAAATTGTAAAAACATGGAAAATGTGGCACAGACTATGAAAAGAACACTTCTATAGTATGAGAGCTGAAATGAGAAGGCAGGGCATCACCTTGTTCCACTTTTGCTGAGAACATGCATGCCAGGTGACTCAACTTTTCAACTGCAATGTACAGGTCTGTGAATGAATGAAAGCACCATGCATACTGATTTTAGAGTTTTAAATTTTAGCAAATAGGCAAATTTGCAAATAAGGACTTGATTAATGAAGTTGATGGTGTGTATGTGTATATGTATACAGAGTGATTAATCTAGTGATTCCTCTCATGAACAGTGATGCTGAAAGCAGGGAACACACCTCAAACCGCCTTCTTCTACTTGGTTCACAGAACTCTGCCTGCCAGACCCTTACTCTCAAGACAGAAGGAAAACTTCCCTGAGAATATAAACATTCCATGACAATATATATATACATATATAGATACCAATGCTGGGAAGATTCCCAAATAGCTCACCCAGACCACTCTAAAATGAAGCTCAAAATCATGAAATGCCTCTTATCCATTCAGAATTTCTAATGTATCCTTCCTCCAGTCTTAATGAGCCAACAGACAAGAATTTCCAAAGATCTGTGGAAAAACCCTAGCACATAAGCCCAAAACAAATAAAAAAGCAATTTAAACAAAAATTAAACTCTCAGAAATTGAAAGTCTTATAGGAGAAATGAAAAATTCAAGGGAAGATTGGAAGATAAAATTAGGGAAATCTCTCAGAAAGTAGAGTAAAATGGTGAGATGGGAGGAAAACAATCAATCCAAGTATCTCCGGTCTAGAAGGTCCTACTCCAAGTAACAGTTCAAGAGAGAAAAGGAGAAAACACAACGAAGAAAATTTAAAAAATTTCCACAATTTCCAGAAGTGAAAGGACACGAGCTTCCATTGAAAAGACACAACACAATGGATGAAAATGCATCTATAACATCATTGTAAAATTTCAGAACTCTGGAGATAAAGATTCTACTGAGATGAAAAAAAAAAACAGTTAACAGACAAAAATATCAGGAATCAGAATGACCTCAGATTCTCATACATGAAACTTGGAAATGAATGAGGAAAAATCCTTTCAACTTCTGGGGGAGAATAGTCTACAACCTGCAGGTTTCAAACCCAGCCAAACTACTGACCAAATATGGAGGTTGAGTAGATTTCCCCAAATGCAGGGTTTCAGAAAGTTGACATCCCATGTACTCTGTGGTTCAAGAATTACTAGAGGATGGGCTTCACAGCATGAGTAAAACATACAGCAAATAGGCAAATCAACACACGAGGGAGAGAAAGTAATTCCCAGGATAAGAGCTGGGCACCAGAACTGGAGAGCAACTAGTCCATACTGAAGATGTATAATGAAAAACAGACAAGTTGAAGGCTGTCACAAGCACGATATTGACTGCCTTTGTAATCGGTTAGTATGTCCTAGTGTATCTGGCTCCAACTGTTCTATACTTGGCTTGTTTGACCCTATCCCATTGGAGTGCTTGATCTTCACTTCATATTCGGACATCTAGATGAGTGGAAGACACTCATTTGAATACACAAGAAGGTTCTGCATCGATCCTGGGATCATGGTGACCTTAGCAGAAATTGTAAAATCAGTGTACCACCACAAAGCGTAGTTCTACGGGAGATCCAGGACGTTCCAGCTGTGGTAACTTGTGTTCCCTAGAACTCCATCACCTGGCTCAACGTCTCCTCCTGGGGCTCTTTTAAAATCTAGAGCTGATATTCAGCTCAGAGACTATTCAGCTCAAGGATGCCTTCATCATCTGGCAGTAAATATTGCCCTTATAAAGCCAGATTTGTGTTTCATAACTAAACAAGATACTGTGCTTAGGAATACCATACAAACTGAGGGTGGCTGGAAGGGAGGAGGGTGAAGGGATGAGGGTGATGGACACTGGAGAGGGTATGTCTTATGGTGAGCACTGAGTGTTGTGTAAGACTGATGAACCACAGGCCTGTCCCCTTGAAATAAATAATACATGTTAAAAAAAAAAAAAAAGGAATACCATACAGCTGATGACTAATATAATCTAGGTAGTACTTAAGAGTTACTGAGGTGAGGGGCACTTGGGTGGCTCAGTGGGTTAAAGCCTCTGCCTTTGGCTCAGGTCATGATCCCAGGGTCCTGGGATCGAGCCTCACGTCGGGCTCTCTGCTCTGCAGGGAGCCTGCTTTCTCCCCTCTCTCTCTGCCTGCCTCTCTGCCTATTTGTGATTTCTCTCTCTGTCAAATAAATAATATCTTTAAAAAAAAAAAAAAAAGTTACTGAGGTGAAAGAGTGGAATGAAACTGAGGATGGAACCACTGGTGGCTTCTATGTTCCATTTCTTAACTTGAATAATGCAATGTTCTTGTTTTATTATACATTGTTGTATAAGTTCAGCAATTAAAATGTTAATGCCATTAGAATTTTTACCTTCTCTTGACCCTTCACTTTAACAAGCAACACACAGGAAGAAAACAACATAAATGCAGTGTTAATGCAACTGTAAATCTACAAGATGGCTGGGGCTGTTCACTTGAGATCATTTGATGATGTCACAATGAGGTGTAGATACAATGGACCACAGTTAATATACACAAATAATGATAGCTTTTGATACTCAGACTTACACACACACACCAAAAAAATCTCTAAAATATCTAAAAAAAGTGATTTTACAACAAGTATTAAGTTCTCATACAAAAGAGGTGCTTAAGGCACAGCAGGCAAATTCTTCATGACTTTGTCCCTACCTGAGATGCCTTAGGCCTTCTTTCTCTTAGCTAACATTGAGTCTAAGTCCCACTGTTCCAAGTTTAAGCAATTCTTTGGTGAAATCTCTTCCCTATCCATTCATTTACATACTACCCAGTAATCATTTATCAAATGCCAGGAACTGTTGGCATGGGGATAAAGCAGTAAATAAAAATTCCCTGCCCTCAGTTTGTTCTGAGAGAAGACTGAATAACAAGATACAGCTCAGATGGCAAGACTGCCATGGAGACCATAAAGCAGGGAAGAAGCTTAAAAAATGCAAGGGAGGGATGTTGCTATCTTTACATGGTCAGGTGAAAGTTTATAGTGGAGGTGACAACTGAACACCAACCTTGAGGACACATAATTTGCAGTAAGAGCAGCTCAGGGGGAAAGCAAATACCTAGACCCTCATTTCCAGTGGTCCTTCTGAGTGACTTGGTGTTGCTAGTTAGATTTTGCTGTAAACACCCTGACTCCTCAGAAGATGCAGTCCTTGAAGGCAAAACCTTCTTAATGCTCTGGACTTCCAACATTTGCCAGGACCTTATGTTAAGTTCCTAACCATTGTTAGAGACAACTCAAACTGTAAATACTCCAAAATTCTACAAAATAATTCAGAATATGTAAAGTTTGTTCTCCAGAATAAAATTAAGATCTTTAAATCTGGAGGATAACCTGTCTAAATCACAATAATGCTTTGGTAAGACACATGGCTCATAATTACCTTTCCTTGACTGCAAAACATATAATGTGCAGATTTAAACCCTTTGGATAGGCGAAGTGATATTAGAAGCTCCTAAGAAGGAATCTGAATAGCATCTAGTCAAAATAATATTCCAATCTTTAAGATTCTTGCTGGTTTTAAGAACCTTCAGCTGAGAGAGCTACCAAAATAAATGGTCAACCTTCTCAGGATTTAATACATTCACAATAGTAACATAAACTATCATCTGACCCTTTGCTTCTGCAGATCAGCATTTAAATATATACTCCCCAGTTAGATTCTACTTCTATAATGACAAGCTCTTCAGCTGAGTTTTTTGTAGCAATGCCAGTTGAATACCTAATGCTACTGTTTTTCACTCTTAAAAATCCTAGAATACTTAGATTTATAATTTAAGACAAAGAGAACAAGGTAACACCCACCAACTTTGGAAAAGTCATATTCAAATCAATTATAGAAGACACTTTCTAATAATTTAGTTATCAAATACAGCTCACCAGCTAAAAATGGTTCTGCCAAAGCCATTCTGTTCCCAACTCAGACCAACAGTGTCCAGTTTTTGTTTTTTGTTCCTCCCCAGAACAGCCCAGAAAGCAACACATTAGTCATGGACACATGAACAAGGGTCACTAACAACTCGTCTGTTGCAAGGGAGTCACAGTTTACCAAATAATTAACAATTGTGATGGTGTCATTGCTTGAACCTTGAAAAAGTTTACAGGGGGAAAAAAAAACCCAAAAACACACCAAACAAACCTCACCAAAAAAACAAGAAAAATTTCAACTACATCTTTTAATCAAATATGAATGGTTCCAAGCATTAAATAATGTTGAAAAGACAAACTTTCTAGTTTAAATTGAAGTAAATATTTCTGATTTTGAGCCAGGTACTCACTGAAGCCAAGGACATTTTCTTGATTTCTGCTTCTGCTTCCTGTCTTCGCTCTTTCTAAAATCCAAAAGTAAGTCATCCAGTAATTGAGTCCCAACAATCCTAATACTCATTTTTACCATCCTTTTGAAACAGCCCTTTGCATACAGCAGGGGGAAACTTAGTTCCTACCAGTGGAATCTCCTCAGGAAAACTGTTAAACCACTCAGAATTTCAAAATGGAGTTTAATGGGGTCACTTTTCTACATACAGCAAATTAAACCACTTAACTCCTGAAAAGGAGTGGAAAGGTTTCAAAGAACTATTTGAGAACATCTGCAAAAGACAGCTGGGACAATCATACAAATAAATGAAGAATACACCAATTCCATTTATGTTATGAAGATGTTTCCCTTAAACTCATCCAAACATTTCACATTCGTGAAATCATTTATTTCAGAGCAAATTCTAAGCTTCTAATATTAAGTTTTAAAGTGTTACAATATTTACAAGACAGATGGCAGAGAAAACCTGGTGGTATAAATACCTGCCAGTAAAAATGGCAGATTAAGTAATTTTATCTCTTTGAAGATCCTTGTTCAATACTGAACATAACGAGGAGCCCCGGGGGGGGGAAGGCACCTTATCCCAAATGTTCTACTGTCATAGTTTTAGCCTCTCAACATTCTTCTTCAAGTTTAAGAGCTCCTTTTCCTGCCTTCTTTTTTCCAGTTTGAAGGCTAATTTGTTAGCTTTCTTCTCCACTCTCCGTTCCTGTGTAAGAACACATTAGTGTTACTCAAATCTTTAAACTGATGAAGATTAACTTTACAGAAGAAAATTTCCACGACCATCCCCCCGCCACAAGCTCTTTGTACATCTCCCATTACCTTGCGCTCTTCTTTTATAGCTTGCTTCCTTGCTTTTTTATCTTCTTTGCTTTCATTTTTAGATCGAGGTTGGGTTGACACCTTTGGCAGATCACTGCCATTAATCATCTGCATTCGTTCAACTTGTTTTGCTGTGAGTCCTTTCTTAGGTAAGACATTGAGAGGTATTCCTGTTTTAGAAGATATTCGGATTTGTTTGGGCTGAAATAAAGATAAAATCATACTAAGGTCATTTCCCATTCCTATCAAAAAACAGTTCACTAATGACACACTGTTGTTGCTTTTTCTAACAGTGATGCCAGCCACGAAGGGATACAGGCACTGTGAGAAAATAATTTGTACATGCCATTACCTGCATTGCGTACCTGCATTACCTGCATTGCATAGCTCAGGACCCTAGGACTTACCTTTGGTTGATACTTGATAAGTTGTGGATGGTTATATAAATTTGAGTATGTACCTTTAAAAAAACAAACAAACATGTATCATGAGTATACTTTCAATTCAGCAAAGCATTACTGAGTTCCTACTATATCCCCAACTTTGGTGTTTTCATAGTTCAAAATAATGGAGTGTCTCTTCTAAATGTTTTTTAAATTGTCTGCAACTTAGTGATGGGAGTATTACGTCTTCCAAATCATTTTCACAAAGCACATACATTTTAAAATAATTGATATGCTTAATACTTAAAAAAACTCTACCTTTTGCAGTAAAATGGACACTACAATACTTACTACAAATAGATTCACAATCCCACTTCTCTTTGGCTTCTTCAAGAACTACAGTAATAACCTCTTCCTCCTCAGATCCATCAAGTTCATTCATTAGCAAGTCCTGATCCTCGAAGGGTTCAAGAGTATTCAGTTTTACACAACTTGTGGTTGAGTTTTCAAAAATGGAGACAGAGAGGGGAAAAAAACACCACCCATTATTATACTGTTACTAAAAGTGTACTTGAAAGCTATGGAAACAATAGCATTTAAAAAAAATCCTAGCTCTCCCCAGCCCCAACTTGACCCTCCAGCACATTCATTCCACTGACAGAAAAGGGATCTTTGCAGGGTTCTAACACATGAACAAGATGGCAACTTTCCTAAAAATTGTTCTGTTTTTTTTTTTTTAAAGCCTCAAAAAGTATTCCCCGGGGCACTTGGGTAGCTCAGTTGCTTAAGTGACTGCCTTCAGCTCAGGTCATGATCCCAGAGTCCTGGGATTGAGTCCCGCATTGGGCTCCCAGCTCCATGGGGAGTCTGCTTCTCCCTCTGACCTTCTCCCCTCTCATGCTCTCTCTCACACTCTAATAAATAAAATCTTAAAAAAAAAAAAAAAAGTATTACCTGATCTGTCTCTTCAAAGTAGTCACATATCTACTCAAAATACATAGCCCTTGTCCTACTGTAGAATCTGCAAACAACGGTAATCATGGAATATCAGACCCTTCCAGCAAATGTAAACACCTCATTAGTTTCTTACAGAAAAATCACCTCGATATGGATGCGGAGCTGATTTGTCAAGTATTTGGCTGTAAAATTATGCTAATTTGGCTGGAGAAACAAACTCTTATCTTTCTATGCACCGTAAATACCAACTCAGAATACCTGGCATTTTAAGAAGATGAAAAGAGTGTATATAATTAGAGGTCTGACTAACTTTTCAGCCAAAGAGGCTAAAAAGCACCACCTCATTCTCCAAGTGAAATGTGACCTTACACCCCTAATTCTAACCCTAGCTCTTCCACTCTGACTCTTAGGTGAGAGCCACATACGAAGTGGTTCTCAGGAGGTTCCCATTCAATGTTACAGTCAGCTTCAGAACCTTAATATCAAAATGTGAGTCAAAATTGATGGAAAACATAGAATTTTCTTCTTTTTCAAGATTTATTTGTCAGAAAGTGAGAGAGCACAAGGAGGGGGAATGGCAGGCACAGGGAGAAACAGGCTCCGTGCTGAGCAAGGAGCCTGATGTGGGACTCAATACCAGGAACTGAGCTGAAGACAGCTGCCTAACACACTGGGCCACCTAGGAGTCCCCAAATATACCATTTTCTTAATATAGATTGTGACTTGGTAATTTTCTAGATTCAGATGTCCAAATATAAACTTTATTTAAAAATGCAAAAAAGCAAGTAAACAAGAAAAGTCATCGTACTTCTCTGCCTTCTCTTTGTAGTAGTCATTCAAGATTTCCTCTAAGCGATTGCTGTCTACTTGAATGCAACCTTCCAATTCAGCATTATCCAGAGCTCCAATTTCATCATCATCATATTGCTCATAAAACTTGAATGCAGAGAGAAAAGATGCCACGAAAATTAATGTATTATGACTATAACATTTAAAATGTTATTTTTATGTTCATCTTTTTTTTAAGATTTTATTTTTTTAAGTGATATCTACACCCAAAGTGGGGCTCAAATTCCCAACCACAAGATCAAGTCACATGCTTCATCAACTGAGGAACTCTAATTTTTACATTAATTTTACTACTACACAGTACTTAAGCACTACCTTTGATATCATAGCTACTGTTACAATATTAGCAGGGATTAGCACCATGACAACAGAATGTGGAAAACATTCTACCCAGTACTTTAAGACTTACCTTTAGCCTAAAAATAGGCTGCCATTTTTGGGCGAAAGATTTATTTATTTTAGAGGGAGAAAGAGCACAAGCAGGGTGAGGGAGAGAGACAGAGAGAGAGAATCTCAAGCAGACTCCCCGCAGAGCGCAGAGCCCAGCTCAACTTGGGATCGTGACCTGAGCTGAAATCAAGAGTTGGACGTTTAAGTGACTGAGCCACCCAGGTGCCCCAAATTAATAGGAAAGTGAAAGGCAATCATTCTATTCAGCTTAGAGAACAAAGCTACCTAGAAATCTTTACCTCGGGATATTTTACAGATGCTTTCAAATTCACTGATATATTCCAAGTAAAAGACCATATAACTAAGCAGTCTCCTTTAAATGTACATTATTTCAGGGATGCCTGCCTGGCTCAGTAGGTAGAACATGCAACTCTGGATCTCAGGGTGGTTGACTTCAAGCCCCACAGTGGGCTTGGAGCCTACTTAAAAAAATAAAATAAAAAATAAATAAAATTTCATTCTTGTTTAGATGTATACTGTATTTCTAGAATGTTGTTAAGGGTAAATAGGGAGTGATGGTGAATCCCGAAGAATGAAGTCATCTGTAATAGTTTGCCTACTAGTACTTAGTGAAAAGGTCGCAAAATTAGAATCCTTTAGATTCACCTTGAAGGAAACCATTCATTCATTCATTCATCATTTACTGAATGCTTTGAGTTCTTATCATATGCCAGACACCATGTTCGACCTTGGGATATGTCAGTGAGCAAACACACACAAAAAACTGAAGGCAATGGAATTTTGTTTATGCTCAGACCAATGCTTGAGGAAAACAGCATAATCTTGGGGATTGGAGTCAGAGATTCAGAATCAAAATGTCAAATCTCTCTGAAGAAAGTCCAGAGATTGCATTAGTCATCTGTGACCTATACACATTCTTTACAGAATTAAAACTAGGATGGTTTTATGGTCTGTTTTAATAAGACATAAGCTCTTTCTAATGCTGAAAGTTCTGGCTTTGAGTTCTAAGGTCATGTGAAATTTACCAGGAACTTGTATTAAAAGGCCTCTTATCTGGGGACCTTACCTTCTCAAATCTCTCATCATGAAGAGTCAGCTGTTCATTTCTCCTCATGACTGAGGATGTTATAGAATACTCAGTAAAGCGGCTTTTTGTTTCCTCTTCCCAGAATAAGTGATTTTCTACAGTCCCAGGAGGTTTTCCAGAGATAGACATGGTTTCATCTGATGAGCCCGCAGAGCCATAGTTATCGTCATCACCACCTCTTTCCTTCTCATCATCCATGTCTTCCCACTCACTGTCATCTTCGGCCTCAGATTTCCTAAGCCAGAGTCATAAATTAACTGTCAAAACAACTTGAGAAACAACAGAACCAAATGACTTTACACAACTAAAATTTGAGGGTATTTCAGGGAGGATTCCTGTTTAGGCAGGAACAGCTGTGCTGCTTGACCTGTCTGGTATGGCTGGAAAAGTAATGAACCAGCAATCAGGCAAGTTGGACTTTAGCCCCACCTATTGTTGGTTTGTAAAGACCTCAAGTTTCACATTTTCTGCTCTAAAATACAAGAGCCGAACACTAAATGCTCTAAAAAATTAGTTCCAGTTAGGTACCATTCTACTGAAGAGGCAATAGTCAGGTCATCCCTGATTCAAAAGAAACCACACGTACTGTGTATCTATTCCATTTTCTTCTGTTGGCTTATTGGCCTGAAGAATAAAATCATCTTCAAGCAGATTATCTGGATTATCAAAGTCAAAATCATCATCAAGGGCTGCAACAATGTCAGGATCAAAATCCAGCCGAGGTCCTAGAAGGAAAACAAAAAGTGAGCAGTAATTCCCAAGAAAACACGATTCCTTTACTTACCATAACTGAGTACCTATTACCTAAACTGATTACTTACTATTAACTGAGTACCTATTATATGCCACATTCTACTTAGGTACAGAGAATTTAAAAATGATTAAAAACTTCAAGTTTGGTCTAGCGAAGAACAGAGAGGGATGACTATAAGAAAATAAAATAGGGGGAAAAAAACACCTCTGGTTTTAGTACCCAATTGTAAAAACTCTTGCATTATAGATCTGCAAAATTATACTGTGTATACTTAGTAAAATGCAAGGTTTTCACCTGCAGTAAGAATCTGGGCTTTAAATTCACCTATTAGAAGTAACCCAAATTAAGCATGTGTAGCCTGGTGAACTGTTTTTCCAGCCTAGGAGATTTTAATAAATCCCAAACCTGTTTCTTCAGCCATGGTCTTTTGTGTGTAAAAATAGTGTCCACAGAATACTTCAAGTTCAACTTTGTAAACTGACATGCTTCCAACATCTTTCATAACATGGCCACTGCTCGACTCCCCAGCCTCATTTCATATTAATTCTTACCACTCTAGGAATGCTAAAATGTGGTTTCCTACTCACGTTCTCTCAATTCTGCACATACAGTTTCCTTTTTGGAATATTCTCTCCTCCCCATCCTTCCCTCCTTTACCCACCTACTTTCTACCTAAGAAATTAATTTAGACACCATTTTCTCCAGGACACTTTTCCCACTATTAACTAACCATTATTTATTCATTTGTACTGTAATCGTAATTTCCTATTTATTATCTATCCTTCCCAATTGATGATATATTCCTTGAGGTCAGGGATTATGCTTTATTCTGATTTAACCCGAGACCCCATCATGGAGTGCTAACTCAAAAATCTACAGAATGAATAAAAGAATGAATGCTATGTGGCAAATAGTGCTTAATAATTAAGGCAACTCAGGAAAAAATACCAAACATCACTTCTGTGTTTGTTCTAAAATACAATGTTAATACTACTTTTAAAACCCAAAAAACAAACAAACCAAAACACCCCAAACAATTTTTCAGTTTATCTGGAACAGATGGTAAAATGGACTTCTATAAAACATTAGACGCTAATATTAGAAATTCTGAAAGCAGATTAAGTCTATACGTATGTTAAGGCTAAGCGAATATTGTCGTTTCCTCTTTAAGAGGTTAGGTCAAGGTTAAAATTCCCCTACTTGACCTTCAAAACCAATTTTCCCACTTCACTCTCCAAACAGAAACTCTAAAGACTAAAAATTTGATGGCAATAAAACAGGAATCCTGATCACTCATCCCTTCTGAATAACCTCTCATCTAAATTCAGACATCTCAATTGTTTTAACACTTTATTAGAGAGAGAAAAACTCTCATTGCTAAACTTTCCTTTTTTTTTTTTTTTTTAAAGATTTTATTTATTCAGACAGAGATCACAGGCAGGCAGAGAGTTAGGGAAGCAGGCTCCCTGCTGAGCAGAGAGCCTGATGTGGGGCTTGATCCCAGGACCCTGGGATCATGACCTGAGCCGAAGGCAGAGGCTTTACCCTGCTGAGCCACCCAGGCGCCCCAACTAAACTTTCCTTTTTGTAAAACTTATCAAGTCACTTGAAAAGCTTAAGAAATTAAGCACACCTGAAACAGGAGCTGCTTTATTCAACAATCCAACATCTTCCTCAAACTCTGATGCAAATACTGATGAAGGCAATTTAATTCCCGTGGTCTTGAAAAAGAAATTACACAATGGTTAGATTGAGAAATACTTCTGACCTACTATACTGGATTGAAGTGTCCTCCCCAAACTTCATGTCCACCCAGCAGCTCAGAATGTGACCTTATTTGGGAACAGGATCCTTGCAGATGTAATTAGTTGAAATGAGATGACAGTGGATAACGGTGGGCCCTAATTCATAAAGACTGGTGTGTCCCTGTAACAAGGCCATGTGATGACACAAAGACACACGGGGAGAATGCCACGTGAAGATGAGAGCAGACTGGAGTGATGGATCTACAAGCCGAGGAACATAAGGGACTGCTGGTAGCCACTGAAAGTGAGGAGATAGGTGAAGGACACTGTTCTTGCCCTGAGCCCCCACAATGGAAGCAACACTGAGGAAAGCTTACCTTCAGACTTCTGGCCTCCAGAGCTGTGAGAATAAATTTCTGTTGTTTTAAGCCACCCAGTGGTAAGGTGTGGTAATTTGTTTTAGCAGTTCTAGGAAAACGAATACAACTAAATTCTGCCTTCTCACTCACTTGTACTCCAGTAAAATATTTGAAACTTGTATATCTTATCATCCTTTCACAAACAGATTCCCTAGAATACTTCAAAAAGTCTCCTCCAGCACATTACTCCATTTAATCCTTGTGGGATATCTGCATGTGGTAGTCAATAAAAGCTAAGAAAGGTCAAATGCCATGCCCGCCTGAAACTGGTCATTAAGTGAGGTTCTGGGATTCAAATCCAGGTTTTGTAATGCCACTCTCCTCAAGTTTCAAAATTTAACCTTATCCCTCGTAAAATGAGATAACATGCCAATCTCTGGTAAAGGCACAGCATTTCTCTGAATTGGCCATCTTAAATCCTGGGGTAGTCATAAATCATTTCTCTCCATCTCCATAGCCCTTTGAACTCTCTTGTGTACTGTGATTGCACGTAAGTCTTTTGGGCACCATCGTATTCCTGGCTAACGAAGACACAGATTATTACCACCACTGTTTAGACAGTATGTACCTAATCCAACCTTCTTATCACTTCCAGATTAAAACTCCTTTATTATGTGACCTTCTTGAACTTATAACAGGTTTTGATTTTTCACTCCTGATTTTCAAGGTCTATACAATCAAGGCCTACTTACTATTCTATACATCCAAACTTATTACTATTACTTAATAATATAGCCTCCATGTAAATCACATCCAGTTCCTCACATCATGGAATAATTCAAAGTAATTTATAAAGCACACATATGCCAGACACTATGATCCACACTACTACCTATGTCCCTTCTGACTGGAATGTTTCCTTCCTGCTTCAATACAACCCACCCTTTAGTGCCCAGATCAGTTCCTCTCTCCTCCATGAAGCAGTTCTTGACCACTCTTCTAGAACTCTCCTTTGGGTAAATCCCTTCATTCTTCACACCATACACAATACACCTCAGTATGTGCTGGCACATATTTTCTGACTGGTCCTTATGCTTTAGTGTGATCTTATCAACCAGTTACCCATGTAAGGGTTACCACATGTTACCTGTCTCTTGCACCTCACTACCCACCTCATCCTCAGTCTAGAAGCAGGCACAAAGCTGAGATGTATGTTCTTACTGGCTCATGCAGCATGTGGAATTGGAAGCCTCCGAGGAGCATGACTGAAAAGCTACGTAGAGGAATGCACACCCAGCAAACTTAGCTTCCAAAATGTGTTTCTTGGGGGCATAAGCATAGCAAAAGATCTGGTTTTTCACCGTAATTTTTTTTTTAAAGAGTTTTACTGAGATGGAATTAATGTAACCATACAATTCAGCCACTTAAAGTGCACAATTTAATTTTTGGTATATTATTAAAAATTACAAAATATGCAATTTTGTTTTGCTATGTTTTTTGTTTTTGAGAGGAGAAAGAAGGAGAAAGAGAGAATGCGCATGCACTAGCAGGGAGGGGAGAAGCAGGGGGAAAGAATCCCAAGCAGGCTCCATACTCAGCTCAGAGCCCAATGTGGGCTCCATCTCACAACTCTGAGAATCGTGACCTGAATCGAAATCATGACTGAGCCACCCAGGCATCCCACTGCTTTGCCTTGTTTTGAAGATATTCTGTGATTATCTATCCTTGGAATGTACAGTTATTTAAAAAAGGGAGGATTAGCTTGTGTTTAGTAAATTTACCTTTGGCGATCTTTTTTAAATCTTGAAAGAGAGTCAAAAGAATCACATACACAATTTAGTTTAGATAGTGACTATTTTTTAAAAAAGAAATGTTTTTTACTTGCAGTAGTTCTGAACTCTGTTGAGTTTGCCCAACCGCTTTCTACCATGGTGGTACCTGCTTTCTTTCACGTGACAGTTGGACTGCTTACTTCTGTACTGCTTTATTTTGTTTCTAGGGTTTATTCAATATTTCTGGTTTACTCAATTTTGGTGGTTTGTTTCAAATTACTTTAAAGTCAAAAAAAGTACATGGGACTCATCCATATTTTTTCATCATGCTACAGAAAACTTATGGCATTTTTGTTTTTAAACATCATTCTCTTACCCTTATAAACATCACAGAAGTGTCTATTTAAGAGCCTTATTGTATTAAAATGCCAAATAAATAGTGATTATCTTTACCCAAAATGAATTAATGATTAAAAGCTAATCTTTCAAAAGCCAATACAATTCAGCCAGAAGAATCTTAGAACTTCATTAAGACTTTTCTCCCTAAGATAAAGTTGAACAACTATTGGACACTCTCCCCTCCCTGAGTCTTGGAAGGAGGTGAGCCTCAAAGATACACATCCTACTCCTGATAGTGTCACCTAGGGAAAGAAGAGTACAGAAGCTGGTTGTTACGACAGAGATGTAGGAATGGGATACACAGCCTTACAAGAGAGCTACAACCTAGGAAGTGAGGGAACAGCTGCATTCATTACCTTCCTTTGGGATAACACCCTGCAACCTAGCCCTTTTGACTCCCCATAAGCAACAAGCTATAGACTGGAGAAGCTATGATTATACTTCCCTGAAGAAAAGAATGCCTAGATCATGAGAGGAGTGGAGGATGAGAAGTGGGAGAAATTGGTGCCCTTTTTAGCTCTTTTTTGTTAATAAACCCAATAAATGAGTATCTTCTACTTTTTTTTAAAGTCCCAGGTAGTATAATGCTGCACAGGAAAATTTACTATATACTAATACTAAACAAAAAGATAAAGGCCTAAGACATGGGCATCTTTAACATTAACATGGGAAAAACAGAGCTTAAATAAAGAGTACTAATTTCATATTAAATATGCGCTCTCATATATACTTAAAAGAAAAAATTAAAATTGACTGCATTTTGGTTGAGAAGAGTCACAGGAACTTCATTACAATCTACTACTTCTATTCTCCGGGTTAGCCTGCAGCTTTTTACAACTGTTAAAGATATGAATATTCTGCAAAAATTAAGTTCTATCTTATAAGACACTTTATGACATTGATTAGTTAACATACACAATGTCAGCTGCTTTTCTTCTACTGAAAGGTTCTAACATAACCATAATTATTAGTCAAAATTCTAACCGTGTCAAAGGTTGCTACTTTTTTAAAAAGATTTGAGAGAGAGAGAGAGAGAGAGCCCAAGTGCATGTGAGCAGGGAGGCAGTGGGGGAGAGAGTTCTAAGCGGGTTCTGCACTCACCACAGAGCCTGACTTGAGGTTTGATAGTACAAGCCTGAGATAATGACCTGAGCCAAAACCAAGAGTCAGACACTTAACTGACTGCACCACCCAGACACCCAAAGGTGCCTACTTTTGACAGCTGCCACCAGAGAACAGGCAGCCTACTCTCTCCTGATGGTACATACATGCACACACATATATAATTTGAAGTAGGGCATGGCGTATTTTTGTGTTCTTCAGATTGATACCATTTCTTGCCTCAGTTATCTTGATTTATAAGTGGTTTTCTCAGTCACTCCCAAATATACTGGTAAGAAGTCTTACTGAAATTACTAAAGTTTCCTCTTTTTCATCTCTTCTTTCGGGTGCACTGGAAGTACTTATGGGAATAAGCTCTGAGGGGCCAGATGGTTCCTTCAGGTGCTGCAGATAGTCATAGTCATCATCAAAGAACACGCCATACTTCCTCTGTTCTGCTCGCCTTTCTTCATCATTTATCTAGGATAATAAACAAAATGGAATTAGTACCTCTTCCAAGCATAAGCCAGAAGAACCTTCCAGTGAACACAGCTTTCAGAACAGGACGCAGATGGCGCAAGAACATTTTGGCTGAGAGAAATGAGACAAAGAATTCTTGATAATCTTAAAAAAAAAAAAAAAAAAAGTTTCTGAACCCGAGTGCTATATAAAATTTAAATGTAATGAAAACAATTCCTGCTTCTACTAGACATTTCTGTGCAACAATTCAAGACAAGACAGAAAAAATAAAAGTAAGTGTTAGTGAGGATGTGGGAAAAAAAGGAACACTTGTGCACTGTTGCTGCGAATATAAATTCGTCAAGTCACTGTGGAAAACAGAATGGAAGTTCTCCCCAAAATTAAAAATAGGAATAGCACACAATCCAGTAATTCTACCAGTATTCACCCAAAGAAAATGAAAACACTGATTGAAAAAATATATAGACTCCTATGTTTACTGCTGCATTATTTACAACAGCTAAGAAATGAAAGCAACCCAGGTGTCCACTGACAGATGAATGGATAAAGAAGATGTAGTGTGTAAACGCACACACAAATATTACTTAGCCGTATAAAGAGTGAGATCTTGCCATCTGCGACATGGTGGACCTAAGGGTATTATGCTCAGTGAACTAAGTCAGAGAAAGACAAACATCATATGATTTCACTTATATGTGGCATTTAAAAAAAAAAACAAACAAAAAAAACCAAGCAGAAACAGATCCACAGGGGCACCTGGGTGGTTCAGTCAGCTAGCACCTGCCTTCGGCTCAGGTCATGATCGCAGGGTCCTGAGATCAAGCCCTGCGTTGGGCACCCTGCTCAAGCAAGGTGTCTGTTTCTCCCTCTCCCTCTCCCCCTGGCTTGCTCTCGTGTATGCTCTCTCCATCAAATAAATAAATAAAATCTTAAAAAAAAAAAAGAAAAAGAAAAAGAAACAGATCCATAAATACAGAAAAAAAAGACTGATGGCTGCCAAATAAGGAGGAGGGTATGGGCAAAAGAGGTGGAGGGGAGTAGGAGATACAGGCTTCCAGTTATGTAACGAATAAGTCATGGAAATAAAAGATACAGCAGAGGGAATAGAGCCAATGGTACTGTAATAGTACTGTATAGTGACAGGCAGTAACTACACTTGTGAGCACAGTGTAATGTACAGACATGTCAAATCACTATGCTGTACACCTGAAACTAATGTAACATTCTATGTCTAACTATACTTCAATTTAAAAAAAAAAATTCAAGCCAAGAAACACACATGGTTTTATCATGTGCTTGGGAGAGTTAACAGACTAAAGGGTCTTGAAAATCAGGTACAATTTCTTGTATTTATACGCAAAGAAACTTCTCAACATACAATACAAACAGGCTTTACTAAAAAGCTAAATATAGCCAACGTTCTCCAAGACTTTCTTTCAGTTTGCCCACACTAATACTCTGATAATTATCACATCAACATTTTAAAGGATTCCTGGCATTTCCTTTCATTTTTCTTTCCTTCTTTTTTTAAATTTATCTGACAGAGAGAGACAGCGAGAGAAGGAACACAAGCAGATAGTGGGAGAGGGAGAAGCAGGCTTCCCACCGAGCAGAGAGCCTAAGGCGGGGCTCGATCCCAGAACCCTGGGATCATGACCGGAGCCAAAGGCAGACCCTTAATGAATGAGCCACCCAGGTGCCCCTTCGTGGCATTTTCTAAAGCTAATTCATGAGTTCTAATGTTTTACATTTCATGAGATGAGTGATGAGGAGACAAACAGTAGTCTGTGATTTTTTGAAATGACAGGATCTTAAGGAAAGAAACCAGAGATATGCCCTAAATATCATGCAGAATTGTAACTAGTTTAGTAAATACTTAGTATTATTGTACAAGATTTGCTCATTTAAATATCTCAAATAAAGATGCTTTACTCTCTCAATCCAACGTGCAAGACAAAAAATCAGTACATTTACTAAAAATTTAAAATGATAGATTTTGTTACCCAAAAGATCACAGTTGCTGGAGAATAGCAGCTAACAATTTACTTAGGAACTACTGACAGTCCACCTGCAAACTCATCTGCTAACAAACAGGACCTACTTTCTGTGTGGGTAACAGAACCCTCTGAGGTGCAGTTTCATCTGCTGCTAAAGGATCCCGTTGACTCCGGTGGACTAGATGAAAAGATACAGCTTTCTTCTTCTCTATAAAAGGCTTTTTCTTCCTGTGAGGCTTCAAAGGAACAGAATCAGAACAAGCCATCAAAGGAAACAAAACAAACACACACACAAAAACCCATAATCCATATACATACCTCCAGTAAGTTATGCGAATGATCAACAGATTTCTAAAACTTACACTTTTATGATAGGCAACATTAACAATGTTCAACAAAATCTGTAGTTACCTTCCTTCAATGTCCATTTGATGGCACTTACTGTGCTAAACTTTTTTCTAAATTCAATTTTTCAGTGTTCCAAAATTCATTGTTTATGCACCAGACCCAGTGCTCCACACAGTACCGTGCCCTCCATAATACCCACCACCAGGCTCACCCTACCCCAACTCCACCCCCCTCCAAAACCCTTAGTTTGTTTGGGTGCTGGGGATACAGCAATGAGGTCAGAGTCCCTATGCTTATCAAGCAAATCACCAAAGAAATGACTTTAAGTAAAGAAAACAGCTATCTGTAAATGACTGAAGATTACTTTATACTGCTAGCTCAGAGAAGGTCCCTTACAGGCTGAATCAGAAGGACAAATAACCTGCCACAGTTAAATGTGGGGAAGACCATTTCAGGCAGTGACACACCTGTTGCACCAACTATTAAATGAAACCAGAACAATACAGCTACATTTAAGTAAGATTCATCATCTCTTTCACCACTCTCGCTACCCTTCCCAACTTGACCTGCTAAAGTGAGAAAGCATCATCCCAGTTAAGCAAAGCTTTATTTATTTATTTATTTATTTATTTTGCTTTGGGCCCAACCTTAGACTCTCCCACAAGTTCCCTTTGCCCAGAGCAAACACAGATGAGCGGACAACTGCTACTCCAACGTCTGGAGAAACCACCCAACTCTCCCTCCCTCCGCCCGATGCAGGAAGCACAAGGTGGTGCATTTGTGTCCTGCGTTCACAGATTTTTTAGGCCCCTCGGGATAAAGAGGAAGCCATTCTCTTCTGTCCACGCCGCCAAGGAGGCTTGGTTGTGGGAGACGAACTGTAAACGCAAAGTATGCCCAGGGTGGTGTGGGCGATTACACCCAGGCACTGGGCCGCAAGCCTCCTCCCTGCACTTGCTGACCAGCCCTCCCAGTCCCCGCCCTCAGCAGCCACTCGCACCAGAGGAACCAGCCTGGCCGTCAGCAAAACCAGAGCGCCCCGTCCCCGAGACAACAAGACGTGCTCACCATGTTGCAGCCGTGCGACGCTCACCCCAGACAACGGCGACGACAGCACCCTCCTCGCTAGCACACGAACGCTGCGAGGCCCGGCTCCCGGAAGCGTCCTTGGGCTGCGCCACACGTGCAACGCCGAGATCCGGACAGGAAGTTAAGCGCAGACTGTGGAAATGGGCCAATCGCCGAAGAGCTGAAGGGGTCGCGGACGGAAGTTCCCCACAGCTTGCATCGTCCAACGCTCGCGAGAAGCTATGGGGGGGTGGGGCTGTTTTCACCACCGGGAGGGCGGGGTTTTTCCGGCCAAAATTAAGTAAATTGGGAAACGGAGGCGTGGGCGCTTTTGTGGCGGTGAGGAGCGAAGCGGGGTTGCTGTTTCTGGGGGGAACTTGCTTTTGTAGCGCCCTCTACCGAAAACAGAGGCGACGTATCTAGCGTCCCCAATGACAATTGTTTGCCCTGCCTATTCCCATCCGTAACGCACGCACAGGACACACACACACACACACACACACACACACACACACACACACACACACACACACAAGGAAGGTGTCCACCCTCCGGGGTCACTGAGGTACCGTCTCTTAGGGGCTGGCGGGGAATTGGTTGCCTTAGCAACGAAGGATCAAGGCCTTGCTATTCTAGGCTGCACCATACTTAATCAGGTGTTTGTTCAAAGATTGGGTGAACAAAACCCCTGAGATTCTGTTGACAGTAGAGGCATTTCAACCAATAAAATATATTTGGAATCTCTTTGGTGTTTGCATACCTTATCTTATAAGGAGGATACTAATGTTTATTTTCTTCCAAGTCGTTTGTCCAACGTTTTAACGTGGTTTAAGCAAATAGGCTATAATCAACCCTTCTTAGGAAGGTTTCAGTCAGGTGTTGGCACGTTCTCGTAACTTCCTGGGCAAAAGAGGGTGGTAATGCATTCATAGTTTAATCAGCAGATCTTTCCTCAAATTGGTGTTTCCCCTTTCCAATCTCTGGCCTCTTCCCAATGTCTGAGTTATCTTGGACTGTGTCGTTATGTCGTCCTATTAATTACCTCTATAGATATTTGTGGAATATTACTCTTTTATTACAATAAAACTTATGGAAACGATTTAGATTAGGAAAACAAATTGTCTTGGATGATGCTTTCTAACAGATATTATACCTAACACTCCTTTGTGCAGGACGTTGAATATGGTTAAGCTCTGGGAGGGCAGGTTTTGTTTTGATTGGCTTTATTTACTACTGTGTCTATCTATCCTCAGGGCCTAGAATAGTGCCTGGTACATATACTCAATATTTGTTTAAATGAATTAATGTGTTGGCACTTAACCTGATTCATGTCTTCATGATTCATGTCAAGGAGAATTATGTCTGCCTTACCAGAGAGGCACTATTTCCAGTATCTTACAAATACTAAAACTGAGGCACAGAAAAGTTAAGTAACTTTCTCAAGGTCACACAGCTAGTAAATGGCAGAGTAGGGATTTAGACAAGCCTGATTAGGGCCTAACTACTTGAATGATGCTTGTGGTTTTTTTTAAATTTTGAGTAACATTCGGTTACTGTATATATTTGCTGATCTAATACTAACACATTGTATTCACTGTACTCATGCTGTCATTTAATTCCTTTGATAAACCTGTGGTTAGATGACAATTAGCCAATCTTAGAGAACTTGGAGTTCAGAGCACTGAAGTGACTTGCCTAAAGTCACACAATAAATGGAAAAGTTTAGATGTGCAGGCTATCAGTCTCGTCAGGGAGATCACACCCTTCACCATGTGCTACACTGCCTCCATAAGGCAGGCAGCCGGCAAATTCTGTCCATTCTACCTTTTAAATATCCAAAGGTATCACCACATTACTCCTTTTATCAAATTTGTCATTTTTAGTACTCTTATTCAATCATGTCATTTTCCTATATAAAAATTTTCAATGTCTACCCTTTGGCCTCAGGATAAAGTCTAAATTTGTTTGCATGGCAGCCAACAGTTTCTCTCATCTGGCTTCTACCCATCAATTTAGCATCTTGTCTCCTTATCCCCCACATACCACGCTATAACTTAGTCCTATCAAACTGTTTGCAGTTCCCCAATGTACCTAAAAGAGATTGACTTTGCTATGCCCATCTAAAATCTCTTCCTCTCACCTCCCTGTTCTTCAAGTGTTAGCCATTTCTGCCTCTAGGAAACTTACACTCTTCCAAACTAGGGCCCACCACACATGTTCTTGTTGTACCCTGTGATTAGTCTATTCAGTTACATCAAATTATAAATCTATACCATTTTCATCTGTCTTTAGACTCCAACTGCAGTAACCAAGTTGAGGACAATGATTTTTGTCTTGCCTAATTTACTTCCCCACGGCATAGCATAGCAAGGACTCAATAAGAATTGTCCTGTTCAAAGCACTTTACATATATTTACTCTTTAAATTCTTAAAGAAGGACTTAGGAGGTTTACTATCATTATCCTTTTGTTATATATAAATTAGAGATTTAGAAACAGAAAGTTAAGTGGACTTTTGCCCAAGAGCACAAAGCCATTAAAGGGATGCAGCCAAAATGTGAACTCGGGTGTATCTTGAGAGTCACACCCTTAACCATTACAATATACCCCATCTCAAAAAGCCAACACATATGGTGAGTTGACATGTGTTCAAGCCTATTCTGGATGATATCTATTTATCTATGAGCTTATTTAATATTTGTTGAATACAATATCTAGAACAATGCATTCATTCATATGGTATATTTATATACACAAAACCCTGTCTTGTCTTAACACAGAAGAACATTTCCTATCATAAAAACACCCACAACTGAAATATTAGAGTAATGATAATAAATCCAAACCATACTTCTCCTAGAATCTTAGTAGTATGCTCTAATAAATGGCATCCACTTCAAAATGATTAAACAGAATTTTAATAAATTCATTTTAATTCCTGGTTTAGTCAAGGCTGTGAAAATTTCATGTTTTCCACGTGAAATGAACATGCCTATTAAAACATGTTTACTGTCTTAGCACTATTTATATCACATTCAGCACTGGTTCTCCGTCAGCATTGCCCAAGGATCCTCAGCACCAGGAAACCAATGTACACAAAAGTGGAGAAAACTTGCTTAAATATAGCCAAACTAACTAGACATGGAAGCAGTAACTCGAGGAATTATAAATTACATGCTTGACAATATTAATAGAGCTAACGGAGGCAGTTAATTTCTAAAAAGGGAGAGAGCATCAGGATGGATGGAGCAGGATGTTCATGGTAGCATTGTTTTTAACAGAGAATAATAAAGCAATTAAAATTCCACTAGTAAAGGATTCATTGAAAAAAATTAATACTAGGGACTATCGTGAAGGTGTTCTAAGGAGCTGCAGATCAACATGGTCACTCAGAAAAAAAAAGCAGGTTGTAGAACACCATAAAAATGGCATTTGTTGTTATTGTTAATAATTACAAATAGAAAAACATTTTACACAGAGACATCATAGTGCACTGAAAAATACCTGGTCAATGATGCACCAAACTTCCCCTTAGCAATTTTCCATAAGAAGCTGGCTTGTAAGAACTTTAGATGTTTACTGTATATATTTTTTCATTGTTTACAATTATTTACATTGTTTTATATATTTTGTTGTTTATGTATTTGTAGTGAGGATTTGAAGTGTTGCATTTGGTGTCTAGAAAAAGTAAAGATACTTGAAAACCAAAGTAGGGGCACCTGGCTGGCTTAGTCCGTAGAGCATGTGACTCTTGATCTCTGGATTTTGAGTTTGAGCCCCAATGTTGGGTGTAGAGATTATTTTAAAATAAAATCTTTAAAACAAAAAACAAAAAACAAAAAGATGGGACAGGTTATATACTAATACAATCAGGTTCAAAAATATTGTTCGAGGCTAATTTTTTAATGATAAACCCATGACTCTCATACATATGCATAAAGTGAGCACATGTAAAGATTTTATCTAGCACATTGTTAACAAGGGGAACGTAGGACATTACAATTATTTCAGAGGACAATCCAAAGAAGAGAAACATTTATAGAGCAGGAATATTGAGAAG